TAACCACATGTACTCTGCACGACACTGTCTCAGGCCTGAGGTAAACTTTGGGTTTTAGGCGGGTACCTTCTGAAGCAGCATCCTAACAATCATGGAACCTCCTAACTGATTGATATGGAACCCTTTAGCAGGGTTTCTACAGGTCTTAAAAAGTCCTTCCACGATTTAAAGCCTTAAAAAGGTCTTAAATCAGAGCAGAACGTCTTCAGTTCATAAAGTGTTGCATGCACTGCAAAAAATGAATATCTTCCTCTGTGTTTTTGTTTTCCAATATACATATCTAAAAATCCTTAAATCAAGATTTACTTGAGATGCAAATGTAAAATGAAGTATTGTGTAAAATAATCAATTTTCACCTTTTAGTATTAGTTGAATTCAAAGTTTTTATCATTCTCTCACTTCGTCCACCATTTTGGCCCAGTGCATTATGGGAGTGCCATCTCCATAAAGGATACATGCAGTGTTGTCTGGCTAATATAGGTTTTGGAACAGAGCATCTGTGGTTTGTTGGGGTCAAATTGATATTAAACAAAACAATGATAATATATGGGATATCAGTCACTGTTCTGAAGAGGATAATCTGACATTCGTGACTATGGCAGATATAAGCATTGTTTTGAAACAGTTACTATCATCTTTACACATACACTCTAAAAAATGCTGGGTTAAATATAACCCAGCGCTGGGTTAAAAAGGGACAAGCCCAGCTATTGGGTTGTTTTGAACCCAACCGCTGGGTCAAAACAACCCAATAGCTGGGTTTGTCCCTTTTTAACCCAGCATTTTTTAGAGTGTACAAACATATTGAAAACGATCACATTATCTAGAGGGTTAGGGGCTAAATGTGAGGATGGATTGACTGGGTTTCCCCTTCTCTGTCTCCAGCTCTCTCTTTCTCTTCGTCTTGTTATGGTCCATCGGTCTTTAAATCACCAAACGCCTCGGGTTTCCCCTTCTCTGTAGTGTTGTTTTTACACCTCCCCTGTTCTTCATTCTCTCCCTGTCTGCTAAATTCCTCCTCCTTGTTTTCTAAACATCTCCTCCTTGTTCTGTGAAGTGTCTCCCTTGTTCTTTCGTTCCTCCTCCATGTCTTTCCTCTCTCTTCTTTTGCTTTGAGGTGTTGTTATTCTGAAGAGCCAGACATCCTCTGAATGGCATGCAGCAACTGCTTCTTTTCATTCTTCACCCTTGCCTTTATTCCTCTACTTCACCTCCCCTCCCCTTCATCTTGAGCCAGCACTTAAACCAGCCGGAGAGTCGAGCGTGAAGAGAAAGCAGGAGATTTAGCCGGAGTGCAGGTCACAGCAAAGAGTGAGAAGAGGATAAAAGACGACGGAACAAAGTGTGTGTCTGCAAACAGCTCTACATTTCCTCCACGAACTTAAACGGCTGCCCAGATGCTGATCTTAATGAGATGCTGTAGCTTTCGAAAACAGACCAAATCACTAAATTTATGTTTGCAGAAGTGTTCCCAAAACCAATTTAAAGGGTGTGCATGTGTGAGGGAGACCATAGTGATTTAGTGATTCAACTTGTCAGCTCATAAGCTTCCCTTTGTCCTCTTGGTGAGGCTAAACCTGTTCCATCCCTATAATTCACCGCTCCAATAAAAAGACTTACTTTTGCTCCAGTGGCCCTGAGTACCCCTGCTGCCCTTTCTCCAAAAAAACTCAACCCCATCCACTAAACTACCTCCACCTTCCACCCAATCCACCACTTACCCTTTATTCGTTTAGACACTTCAGGGCAACAGAAATTAGTTCACCTTATCATAACATAACATAACATAACATAACATAACATAACATAACAACATAACACAACATAACATAACATAACAACCAACTGACTGTGCGTTATGCCATTCATTGCATAGCTTTAAAAAAAAAAAAACATAAAGATTAAAATAATAAAAAAATCTATTTTCGTTGTCAGTAAACAGACCACTTTGGCACAGTGCACTTAGATTTAACTTTTTTTTTAATTTAACTGATTTTAAAATGCTGATGGAAAAATATATATTATATAAAAATAATAATAAAACTGCATGATGCGAGAGACACATGAAAGAGAGACGCGATTCAATTATACAATTTATTGCCATTATATGAAAATTTTTTTAAATTTATTTATTCATTTATTTATTTATTTATGCCTTTACTGATGTAACTAAATTATAAATAGCTATATCTGTTGATCTGGATTAGAGAACCCAGGTCAGGATATCTCTGTCCACTATCACGCTTCGCATCTCTATTTTTCTCTCTTACTCATGTGTGCTTAGAAAATGAAAAAAAAAAACGGTTTTAGCATCAAATCCCTCTGTGGAGTTTTCAATGGTAATCCCTTTATGTATATATACGAGACATTGTTGTTCTATATCCTGTAATTCTGGGAAATACAAGCCCTTGTTTGAATGTGAAGCCCAGTGTGTTAAATGCGACTCGCTTGAGAACCCGCACCCTTACCAGCCTTTTAATGGATTTGTGTATAATGAAAAACTGCCGATGGATTAAACCAGAACGTGAGCAGAAACAGAATCGTCATCTCTGCCACGGGATGAACGGAACTAGACCGTAATCCTGCAAATGGCTGGTGTGTGGGTGTGTGTAAGAAGAGGAGAGAATAAATAGGTTAGGGGACGATCTGTGACTAAAGAGACTGAATCACTGCACGCACAGTCTGGTAGTGGTATCTTCTGGAAAGTTCTCACCGACAGAGTTTCTAATTAATGTTTGGGGGGCAGATGCCCCATATAATTCCACCCATAACAACGATAAGAGAATATAAATAGTTGTTGACTTCACTCCTTCCAACAGTCCTTCCGGAATCCCTCCTCCACCCCAGATCTGTTTTTGCTCTCTATACACTATTAAACATTTCCACCCACTTTTTAAAACTGAGGAATAATTGTTCATGCCAAAGTGGTTTTTACCATTTCAATTTTGTTTACTGATAAAGAAAATTTAACAAGTACATTTCTGAAAACTACAGACTAAAGATAGACATTCACATAGACAGACAAGTGTTGGTGTAATGCATTACAAGTAATGTGAGTTACGTAATCAGATTACTTTTTCAAGTAATTAGTAAAGTAATGCAGTACTTTTAATTTACAGTTACTTTTTCAAATAAGCAATGCCAATGACTGTTTTCTTATTTGTTGACTGACAGCTCTCCTGTCCTCATGCTGAGAGAAATCAGGAGTAAGTGCAGTGGCGTTGTGTGTGCTGTGTAAACATGATGTTACTGTAGTTCTAGACTAAATGTTAACATGCATTTACTCATGTCTCTTGCACAAACTCAGAATATGACGCAAACCCGCAATAATTAACTATGTTAACACAAATATCCTTTATGTATTTAATCCCATTTTATTAGCCAGTGTCTTTACTGCTGACCTTTGATGATCCAATTCAACAATACTAATAAACAAAAAATGACTTAGGTAGACATAACATTTTTGTTTAATTTGTTTAATTGCTGAAGAGTGTTGAACTTCCTTTTCCTGCGTCATATTCTTCATGCAATCCAGAATCGCAGCACAGCTGAAAGGTTTGTTGAGCTGCCGCCTCTACTGTACGGATATGAATTAACATTTACTACAGAATGAGGTGTATTCATTTCACTTTTGGTGGGAAAGGGCTTTTAAATTTGTCAAAAATAGAACTTTTTATGTTAAAAACAAATAAGCAAGCCCAGCCCAGATGAGAAAAAGTAACGCAAAAGTAACGTAACACATTACTTTCCATAAAAAAAGTAAATAAGTAAGTTACGTAATTAGTTACTTTTTAGGGAGTAACACAATATTGTAATGCCTTACTTTTAAAAGTAGCTTTCCCCAACACTAAGACAGAGAGACAGAGAGATAGATAGTACATGAGAGACAGTCATATAAATAGATATAGGTATAGGTTTACAGTCATAGAGTTTTTATGAACAGTTCGAAAGAATTTGGTTCTTAAATTTCTCTCTTTCACACCGACGCTCACAAACACAGACTCCCTGCTGTTTGATTGACTGACGAGCACAAGTAGAGAGTTCATCAAAAAGCACTTAGTGTCCACAACACATCCTCTTATCAGTTCCTTTTATCGCTCTCTCCTTCTGTTCGGCTCTTTCTCCCTCCCTTCTTTTGTCTAACAGAGACAAAGTGGGAGTTCCATGGGGGGCTCAAGGATGAGACACATTGTGTGTGTGTGTGTGTGTGTGTGTGTGTGTGTGTGTGTGTGAGTGTGTGAAGTACAGATTGACGGATGGATGAAAGCTGTTGAAGAGCAACCATTTAGCTGATAGTGATCAGCCAGTTTAACTCAGATCCCCCCACCCAACTCATCAACCTCCATTCCCTCTAGCTCTGCACCTTTTGTTCTGGACCTGCATGTCTCTACTTCTCATTGTTTCTCTGATTGAGCCTCAGTAGCTCCCCTATCACCACACACACACATTCACTCACACACAATCTCTCTCATCTTGGATCAAATCCTCCATCCCTCCCCCTCGAGAGTATTAACCTACCCTGTTCCTTGAAGTAGAATGTCACAGCTGGACTAATCTTTCACATGCAGACCTGAGACATCGAAAACCAGCCGTAGCACTGCTGTCAGTTTACACAAACAACACTATTGACAGCATCTTCCAAACTAATCTCAAATTCATAAGGACTTTATAATTTGTTGATTTCATATAAATTTGCATGCATCCACTATTGATTGTGTCTTCCAACCTATGGCTGGTTGCATAAAATGCTTATACTAGTCTTACATATAAGACATCTATGTATTTTCCTTAAAGACTGGTCATAATATTTTTCAGTTAGTTTAAGTCAGTTGCGTAAAAACGTAGATTGGTCTAATGCAAATCCAAAAAAAAATACGACTCATTACCCCTTGGTAATTGCTAGTTTTAGTTCAGAGGCTAAGTTTATGCAACTGGCCCCTGATCTCAAATTCGTAAAGGCTTTACGATTTGTCAGTTTCGTATGAATTCATACACATCGACTATTGGCTGTGTCTTTCAGCCTGATCTCAAATTGGTAAGGACTTTATGATTTATAAATTTTGTATAAATTAGTACAAATCCTCTATTGACTGCATCTTCCAAACTTATCTCAGATTTGTAAGGACTTTACGATTTTGCAATTTTGTATGAAATTCTACACATCTGCTATTGACTGCATCTTCTAACCTGATCTCAAATTCATAAGGACTTTACGATTCATTGATTTCGTATGAATTTGTACACATCCACTATTTGCTGCATCTTCCAACCTGTTCTCAAATTCGTAAGTACTTTACAAGTCAATGATTCTGTATGTATTCATACAATCTGGCTTGTACAAACACATACTATTTGTATGTAAAATGTCTTCTAAATCTAACCCTCAGAGGGGCGTGATCAGATTGTATGTAAATGTACAAATGAGATTGTATGAATTCATACAAATTTGCCATTTTGTAAAATACTTATGTATTGTCATGGGAGTGTGTTGCATCTTAAACATCTAATGGGAGTATACGGGTGCATCTCAATAAATTAGAATGCCGTGGAAAAGTTCATTTGTTTCAGTAATTCAACTCAAATTGTGAAACTCGTGTATTAAATAAATTCAAATATATAATTATTATATATTTAAAATATATTTAAAAATGACAATTACTAAGATTATTTAAAGTAATTATAATTAATAATAACGTCAATATTTAAAACATAATTTAGAAACATTATATAGACAAAATATAATACACAACATGCTCTCACCTTCACGGTCCTGTGGTGCTTTTTGGATGGGTGACAGCGCATGTTGCTGGTGTTGCAGCAGCCTGAGCATCGTCTCACCTCCACACACGGAGGCCAGATCAGGAAGTTGGCGGCCGTGGGATCGACCTGACTGCGTGGGATCTCGTAGATCACTGTGCGAGTCTTACAGACGGCGGGCACTGCTTCCTCTAAACACACAACAAACCCATAAACACACAGAAGAATCACTGGGGCTTTGCAAAGTGTATGTGAATAATTGTATGTGGGTTTTTTCTACCAATGCTTCTCTTGCGTCTGGAGTGTGAGTTCTTGAGGTGTCTGCTATCATACAGATGCTCCTTATAGTGGCCTTGTTTAGCATCCTCCAGCACCTCATTCTCTGCACCGAAAGAATGAAGCACAAAAGTCAACAGTGCGACATATTTTGGCTTGTAGAACAAGCTAACATCCAACCCACAATCCCTCCCTCACTATTGTCAAGAAAGAGCGCCCTTGAACCTTTTTGCGAATGCAGCC